TTTTAATTTCATTATTTGCATTTTCATTGCATCTACTCATTACCACCATTCTATATTCAATCATAGTAATATTATCTTGAATTTTATTATTAGATGAAGTGTTGTCAGCCATTATTAATGTTTCAATCATATTTCTTTCATTTTAATTTCAGTTGCTTTTTCATTGCATCTACTCAGACCACCATTCTATATTCAATCATAGTAATATTATCTTGAATTTTTTTATTATTAGATGAAGTGTTGTCAGCCATTATTAATGTTTCAATCATATTTCTTTCATTTTAATTTCAGTTGCATTTTTCATTGCATTCTATTCAATCAGACATACCACCATTCTATATTCAATCATAGTAATATTATCTTGAATTTTATTATTAGATGAAGTGTTGTCTTGCCATTATTCTTTCAATCATATTTCTTTCATTTTAATTTCAGTTGCTTTTCATTGCATCTACTCAGACCATTCCATTCTATATTCAATCATAGTAATATTATCTTTAATTTTATATTTAGATGAAGTAATTTTTCAGCCATTATTAATGTTTCTATATTCAATCATAAAATTTTTCTTTCATTTTAATTTCAGTTGCTTTTCATTGCATTTTAATTTCTACTCAGACCACCATTCTATATTCAATCATAGTAATATTATCTTGAATTTTATTATTAGATGAATTGTTGTCAGCCATTATTAATTTTTCCATTCTATAATATTTCTTTCATTTTTAATTTCAGTTGCTTTTCATTGCATCTACTCAGACCACCATTCTATATTCAATCATAGTAATATTATTTGAATTTTATTATTAGATGAAGTATTTGTCAGCCATTATTAATGTTTCAACTATATTTCTTCATTTTTTTTAATCATTTTTTTCATTTTAATTTTATTTTAATGAAGCATTTCAGCCATTATTAATGCAGGATGTATTTCTTTCAGACCACCATTCTATATTCAATCATAGTAATATTATCTTGAATTTTATTATTAGATGAAGTGTTGTCAGCCATTATTAATGTTTCAATCATATTTCTTTTCATTTTAATTTCAGTTGCTTTTCATTGCATCTACTCAGACCACCATTCTATATTCAATCATAGTAATATTATCTTGAATTTTTTATTTATTAGATAAAACAATCAGACCACCATCTATATTCAATCATAGGTTAATCCATTATTAATGCAATCATTTCTTTCAATTAAAGATCAAATTTATTTTATTATTTTAATTTCAGTTGCTTTTCATTGCATCTACTCAGACCACCATTCTATATTCAATCATAGTAATATTATCTTGAATTTTATTATTAGATGAAGTGTTGTCATCATTATTAAGCAAAACTTGAGATTATTATTCAAAAATGTAAAGAAATCTTGAATTTTAATTTTATGAATGAATTTTAAATTTTCTTTCATTTTAATTTCAGTTGCTTTTCATTGCATCTACTCAAAACCACCATTCTATATTCTATATTCAATTTATTAGATAATATTAAATTTGAATTTTATTATTAGATGAAATTTTCAGTTGTCAGACCATTATTAATTCAATTAGTAAAAATGAATTTTATTATTCTTGAATTTTAATTTTTCTTTCATTTTAATTTCAGTTGCATTTTCATTGCATCTACTCAGACCACCATTCTATATTCAATCATAGTAATATTATCTTGAATTTTATTATTAGATGAAGTGTTGTCAGCCATTATTAATGCTTCAATCATATTTCTTTCATTTTAATTTCAGTTGCTTTTCATTGCATCTAGAAAGACCACCATTCTATATTCAATCATAGTAATATTATCTTGAATTTTATTATTAGATGAAGTGGAAAGAAATTCATATTTTCATTTTAATTTGGGTTGCTTTAACAAATTTACTCAGACCATTTTTATTCATTCTATATTCAATAAAAGTAATATTAGAATTTTTATTATTAGATGAAGTTTGTCAGCCATTATTGACATTTTTCATTTTCATTTTAATTTAGATTTTTTTCATTGCATCTACTCAGACCACCATTCTATATTCAATCATTTAATTATCTTGAAATTATTATATTGAATTTTATTATTAGATGACATTATATTCAATCATCATATTATTATTTTTATTATTAGATTTGTTTCATTTTAATTTCAGTTTGCTTTTCATTGCATCTGCATCTCAGACCACCATTCTATATTCAATCATAGTAATATTATCTTGAATTTTATTATTAGATGAAAGGATAAGCCATTATTAATGAGACAAAATATTTTTTCATTTTAATTTCAGCCATTTTATTAATGTTTATTCAATCATAGTAATATTATCTTGAATTTTATTATTCATTATTAATTTCTTTCAAATTTAATTTTAATTTCAGTGCTTTTCATTGTATCTACTCAGACCACCATTCTATATTCAATCATAGTAATATTATCTTGAATTTTATTATTAGATGAAGTGTTGTCAGCCATTATTAATGCTTCAATCATATTTCTTTCATTTTAATTTCAGTTGCATATTTTTTCATTTTAATCTTTCAGACCACCATTCTATATTCAATCATAGTAATATTATCTTGAATTTTATTATTAGATGAAGTGTTGTCAGCCATTATTAATGTTTCATTTTATAATGCATTTCATTTTCTTTCCACCATTTAATTTCATAGTAATATTATCTTGAATTTTATTATTAGATTTTTCAGCCAAAATTGTATCTATTTTCAGACCACCATTCTATATTCAATCATAGTAATATTATCTTGAATTTTATTATCCATTCATTCTATATTGTTGTTATCCATTATTATTTTTTCATTTTAATTTTCAGTTGCTTTTCATTGCTATTTTCAGACCTTCATTCTATATTCAATCATAGTAATATTTATTTGAATTTTTATTATTAGATGAACCATTATTAATGTTTCAATTTTCAATTTTCATTTATATTAATAATATTATTTCAATCATATTTGTTTTCATCTTAATTTTGATTTCTGCTCTTTTTTTTAAGGATTTTTTTTATTACAGTAAAGCTTCACCCTCTACAAAGTCTGGTGACCTCTCATAGTAGTGTATTACATTAAGGGATAGTTTATATGGATAATTGTTAACTCTAGACTTGAACAGGTTAAGAATGTTGTGATTGGGGCAAAATTGGTCTAGAGGAAGAAACTGTTTGAGTGGAACTTATGTCTCACTGATGGAATATGGTAGGAATATGGGTTAGTTTGTTACACTGTAAATGGCATCGCAGTTATTAGCCATGAAGTTTAAACCTATCAGAACCAAGTGAGACTGACAGAACCAACTGAGCAGTGAGAGCCTTGCCACATCCAGCCTGTGAAAGAGATGTTGGAAAATAATTCTTCCATATTGTTCAGGCCATTGTGAGGATTAACCCACTGCCAGGATGCCCGCTAGATAGCATGGCAATCAGTGGTATATAAGGAAAGCATTTCTCTTTGTCTTTTACCAAGAATCTCTGAATACATAGCAGGAACACCAGACCAAATGTGGCAGGAATATTCTATGCATGGATGAATGGTAGACTTATAAATGTGTAAGATAGATTGTGGCATGAAAAATTGTCTAGCAAAACACAGTAAACTAGCTTTCCTTGCAGCAGACCTAGCAAGTGATTCAATCTAATCTTTCCACTTCATGTCAGGGGAAAAAAAATCCCAAGAAATTTCAACAGGCCCTGATGGTTGTTTTGACACAAAACTCTTGTATCTTGTGTTTTTAAGATAACAGAGAGAAATAAATAAAGAAGCCTAATTTGTAGGTAAATAATGAAATTGAAGGTTTACTACAGGAAGGTATACCTAGCAATTGACCGAATGCTAAACCTCCTCAACTCCACTTGACGCAGCTTATTTACATAAATGGACGATTCCATTCATTTCTGTCCTGTATGACACTAACCAGATTTTTTTTTTCTTTTTTTTTTAAGCATTTCACCCCAAGCAAGGCAGGAAGCCACTAGGATGCAAGGGGTTACAGAAAAATTGAAGCAAGATCAGATAGGAGTGATAGAAGAAAGGATGAGGGTAGTGGATAGATCAAGACAACTGGAGATGTCGATTGACATTACATTTGAATAGCTGGAGATTATAGCTCCCAGGGAAATTGGAATAGGGAAGGGAGTTCCACAGGCGAGAGGTGCGAGACATGAAGCTATTGGAATAGAAGAGACGGCTACATTTAGGAGTTTCAACAGTGAAGGAGTGAGAGCAGGATGCCAGCCTTGTAGGGCGCTGGAACTCATGACGTCTGGGAACCAGCGAATGCAGCTCCTCAGAGCAATTACCATGAAAGTATTTGTAAAACAGACAGAGAGATATATCACTTGAACATTTAATTTATTGAATATATATATAATGGCCAGTGACACTTGTCTTCTGAGCACACCTGTCTGCTAGGGCAGCTCACCAATCCCTGTTGCAGACATATGCTCAGGCACATGTGTATTTGTTCAACACCCACAGAGCTGGCATTAGTTTCATTTTATGGGAGAAAGTGTATAATTTATCATGATCAGCAGTTTGAACAAAATAAGGTAAGGGAGAAAAAGGAATGAAAAGATATGGAGGATAAGAAATAGAAGAAAAAAGCACGCAGAGAGAATGAGAAAGAGTGAAAGAAAGAAGAAAAAATGAAAGAGAAGGAGAAAAAGAAAAGGAAGAAAATAGAAAATGAATGAGAGAGTGTGTGTGTGCAGAAAAATGATATGAAGAAAAAGTAAAATATAAAATAAGAATAGAGGTAGACAGAGAGAATGAGGAAAAAGAGGAGAAAGAAAATAAGAAAAAGGAAAAAAGGAGAGAGAGAGGAGAAAAAGAGAAGAATTAGGAGAAAAAATAAGAAATGATAGAGAGAGAGAGAGAGAGAGTGAGAGAAACAATGAGGGAAAGAAAAGGAAAAGAAAAGGTGGAGAAAGACAATGTTAAAGAAAAGGAGAGGAAAAGTAGGAGAATTGAAATAAAAATAGTGAAAGAAAGAAAATTAGAGAAAAGGAAAAAAGAAAGAGAAAAGAAACAATGATGAGAGAAAAGACAAAGATGAGAAGTGAGTTAGTGAGAGTGAGGTAAAAGATAAAAAAAACAGAAGAGAAAGAATAGAAAGAGTTAATATGAAGAAAGAGGGATTACGATGAAAACAAAGAAAGCGACAGGAAAAAAGAAAGAAAACAAAAAGAATAGAAAAAAGAAAGAAAGGAAAACTGATTGAAAAAGAAAGAGATTTAGAAAGAAAGAAAAATAAAAAATAGAAAGAAAGAAAAATGAAAACAAAGAAAGAGACAGGAAAAAAGAAAGAAAACAAAATGAATAGAAAAAGAAAGAAAGAAAAGTTGATTGAAAAAGGAAAATATTTCAAATGAATGAATAAAGGCAGAAAACTGAGGAAAAGAACCTTTGTATTTAGAAAGAAAGAGTGATTGAATAATTGTAAAAGGGATAGATTTAGAAAGAAAGAAAGAAAGAAAGAAAGAAAAAAGAAAAAAAGAAAGAAGAAAGGGTTGAAAAAGCAATATATTTGAAAGAAAGAAAAATACTTGAAAACAGAATATATATAGAAAGAAAAAAATTATGACTGAAAAAGAAGATAAAAAAAACAAAGAAAAGAAAAGGAAAGGAAGGAAAAAGAAGAATAACTGGAAATATTTATAAAGAAAAAGAAAATAATAATTAAAAAAGTAACATGATTAGGAAGAAAAAGAACACTTGAAAAAGCAGTATATTTAGAAAGAAAGAGAGAAAGAAATATAATGAAGAATAACTAAAAAATGATTAAACATAAAAGGGAATGAAAGAAGAAAGAAAGAGTGAATGAAAGAAAGAAGAAATTACTTAAGATGGAACAGTTTTTTTTTTAAAATAAACAAATAATGATTGAAATTTAGAAAGAAAAATTGAGAAAGGTTTTAGATGTTTTTAATCATTTCATTGCTAGCAAGGCAATAAAGAGACTAAGATGCATGGGGGGGTACTAAATGGGAAAGAATATGTGAGAAAAAAAAGGAAAATATTTAGAAAGAAAATCTAAGAAATATTTTCATTTTGTATAGCGTTAGAAAGAAAGGAAAAAATTAAGCTAGAATAATTGAAAAAGAAATATATCCAGAAAGAAAGATGAAAGAAACAATGAAAACGATTAAAATGAAAGAAAAAAGAGTATAATAGTCTTGAAAAATGAATGAATTAGAAAGGAACATAAAGTAAAGAATAATTGGAAAGGTAATATATTTAGAAAAAAAAATAAGAGTGGTTATTTGAAAAAGGTGAGTCTAGAAAAAAAGAAAGAAAGAAAGAAAAATGATTGAAAGAGAAATAGGTTTATAAAGAAAAGAAATGAAAGAAAGCATTGTTGAAAAGGGAATAGATATAGAAAATGTGACAGAAAATTAAATAGATTTTGGAAGAAAGAAAATGCAGAATGAAAAAGAATGACAGAAAAAGGAAGAAATAATAATTGGAAAAGTAGAAAAGAAGAAAGAAAAAAACAAGTAAAAAAGAATAATTTAAAAAAACAATATTTTTTGGAAGAATGAAAGTCTTTTAAAAAAAAGGAATAGATTTAAAAAGGAAGAAAGAATAATTGAAAAAGAAACGGCTATACAAAGAAAGAAAATATGACTGAAAAGAAATATGTTTAGAAAGAATGAAAATGTCAAAAAACTTATTGAAAAAGATAAAATTTAGAACACTTAAGAAACAAATAGATTTAGAATGAAAGAAAGAAAATAGAAAGAAAGGCAAGTGAAAAAGGAATAAATTTAGAATGAAAGAAAGAAAATAGAAGGAATATATTTATAATAAAAGAAAGAAAATAGAAAGGCAAGTGAAAAAGGAATAGATTTAGAATAAAAGAAAAGGAAAAAAATGTAATGAAAGAAAGAGTAAAGATAGAAAGAGAAACATTTTTAGAATTCTTGTCTTCTCCAATCCTTCTATTCTGTGTAAATAAATCACAGAGATTTTAGACAACCTGGTTTGACGGTGAAAGAAAAAGGTCAACAAAAGGCTTAATAGACTGACTGCAGATCTAATGAGGACATTCAGGACATTTGCTTGCATCTGGCTGAGAGGACAACAGTCAAACGCAGTGTGCATCATTTTGAAGTCAGTGTTCTTCATTTAAAGAAGACTTTATTTTCATAGTAATTGCTGGCAAAAATGGTTTCTTCCTAATCTGACCAACATCTGTGAGATCTATTTCCAAGTGAGTCAGATAAGAATATTGATGAAGATCAGAAATCTATCTATCTCAGTTTCTTCAGATCTATCTATTTATCTATCTATCTATCTATCTATATATATATATATATATATATATATATATATGTGTGTGTGTGTGTGTGTGTGTCAGTCTTTTATTATTTATCTGTTGTAAGTCATATGTGTGTGCATCTATCTATCTATCTATCTATCTATCTATCAATCTATCAATCTATCTATCTATCTATCTATCTATCTATCTATCTATCTATCTATCTCAGTCTCTTCAGATCTATCTATCTATATATATGTGTGTGTGTGTGTGTGTGCGTGTGCGTGTGCGTGTGTGTGTCAGTCTTTTATTATTTAACTGTTGTAAGTCATATCTATTCATTGTGACCTGTGTGCATCTATCTATCTATCTATCTATCTATCTCAGTCTCTATATCTATCTATGTATCTATGTATTTGTCTATGTATCTATTTGTTTATCTATCTCAATCTGTTCATATCTATCTGTCCCACTCTTTTCATTTCTATCTATCTATCTATCTATCTATCTATCTATCTATCTATCTATCTACGCCTTTTCATATCAGTCTGTTCATATCTATCTATCTATCTATCTATCTATCTATCTATCTATCTATCTACGCCTTTTCATATCTGTCTGTTCATATCTATCTATCTATGCCTTTTCATATCTGTCTGTTCATATCTATCTATCTATGCCTTTTCATATCTGTCTGTTCATATCTATCTATCTATCTACACCTTTTCATATCTGTCTGTTCATATCTATCTACGCCTTTTCATATCTGTCTGTTCATATCTATCTATCTATCTATCTATGCCTTTTCATATCTGTCTGTTCATATCTATCTATCTATCTATCTATCTATCTATCTATCTATCTATCTATCTATCTATCTATCTATGCCTTTTCATATCTGTCTGTTCATATCTATCTATCTATGCCTTTTCATATCTGTCTGTTCATATCTATCTATCTATGCCTTTTCATATCTGTCTGTTCATATCTATCTATCTATCTACATCTTTTCATATCTGTCTGTTCATATCTATCTACGCCTTTTCATATCTGTCTGTTCATATCTATCTATCTATCTATCTATCTATCTATCTATCTATCTATCTATCTATCTATCTATCTATCTATCTATTGTTGTCTGTTCATATCTATCAATCTGTCTATCTATGTCTGTTCATATCTATCAGTAAAAAACAACTTGGAAAGATGAAAAGTCCTTTATTTGCTAGATCATTTGCAATAAATTTGTGTCCAGGTCCTTACAACTTGTCACCACTCTTAGCAGATCTTCTATTATTCCAATGTGAGATATTTAATAAGAAAAGTGACGGAAACATAAACAAAAACAAAAAGAAGCTAAATTAATTTGGCTGGACTATATAACTAAACATTTTTTTAAAAAACAAAAGACATTTAAATTTAAAATTCTCAGTGTCCTCTTTCCATCATGTATATAACTATCAATTTAGACTGATGAAGTCCTAATGGACAAAACACATCACACAAAAACTTTTTCCACATTTTCATACTTTTTTCCCCTAAAATCTTTCTTGATATATAAAAAAATTACATATCTTTTTTCCTCTTATCTATCTATCTATCTATCTATGTCTGTTCATATCTATCTATATACTCATACCTATCTATCTATTTCAGTCTGGCTATTATCTGTCTGTCTGTCTATCTCAGTCTCTCCATATCTATCTATCTATCTATCTATCTATCTATCTATCTATCTATCTATCTATCTCATTCTGTTCATATCTATCTATCTATCTATCTATCTATCTATCTATCTATCTATCTATCTATCTATCATTCTGTTCATATCTATCTATCTATCTATCTATCTATCTATCTATCTCATTCTGTTCATATCTATCTATCTATCTATCTATCTATCTATCTATCTATGAGTAGATAGGTTAATAGGATTCTATAGGTTCGAATATTACACTCTTCCCATTTTTTGAACAGTAAAGGTTTATTTCTTGTTTCCTTTTAAGATTGTGTTTCTGGTTCCTTCTTGAGTCTTCTTATTCTCTTTCATTTTCAGTTGCCCCTTGTGTCGTAGTGACATTATTGCCTTATCATTGCAGGTATCTATCTATCTATCTATCTATCTATCTATCTAGAATCTTTTTCAGTCTGGTTATTATCTATTGAATTGATTAAATATATATATATATATATATATATATATATATATATATATTATTAATAGAAATCTTATAAGTATAAGAAACTATACTCACTCAGAAAACCTTCAGTGTCTTGATTTGCAAATAAACAAGCCAATACCAAAGAGGAAAAATAGGTATAAAAAAAGAAAAAACCAAGAACATGTACGTTGAAAATAATCATCCAGCATACGAGTCCACTCCTTAAAAAAAAAAACCCAGATATGTGAGTACCCAAAATAAGTAAATAAAGTGCTCAATACAATGAGTAGAACAGACCTAGTTAAACCTAGAGAGACAGACAAACCTAGGAAGGTTTCATCTAAGTGTATAGGTGAGGGAGATAACGATTAATCCTAAAGTTTTTGAATATATATATATTATATATATATATATATATATTATATTGGGATATATACTTCCTAGTTCAAATACGGGAAAATTCGACCTTGCTAAGTGAAAACTTCTCCTGGATGGAAATGGATTGGTTAAAGGTACATTTGCTAAATGACAGTTCTGTATAGGATAAAGGTTCGAATCCTGTTGGAGGACAAATATTTTCGTGAAAATTTTCCAGACATTCAGGCTAGTAGTGGTTGTTTACATCCTGTTTATTATAAACATTGATTTGATTAAATAATTTGTATCTATAAAAAGAATGAATGAACATAAAAATGTCTTAAAATATATATGTATATACAATTTTGATCACAATACACACACCTTATTTGAAAATTGGAAAAATATAATAAAAAATTAAACGGACAGACATTATTGGTACTTTTTAATCAAACTTTTTTGGATAAATACTTGCTTCCTAATTTTTGATCATTTAACTCAAAGCAAAGAAATAAAGCCACTTGAGGTCGGGTAAGTGTTTAAAGGACCCAGATAAAATAAAAGAAAAGGAATTCCTCGAAAGGAACAGAAGTAACATTTTGACATTGTATTTATCGGGGTTGACCTGGGAAGCAGGAACAGTAACTAACTTGAGAAGTGTGGTAGAAAAATGTTAACATAGAATTTATAGTTACATCTAGCCATTTCAATTGTAAAATGGTGAGACCTCTCTGGCAATCTTATTACTGTTTTAAATTCATAAAGTATAGTCATATCCATCGGCATAGAAAGTTTATCAAAACATTTACCATAGGAAAATATTTTAGAAAAGTTCAAAAGAGGGTTGGTTCATGGTGTGGAAAGTGAGATGTCTGATTGACAGATCAGGACCAATAGCATTGCTGAAATTTCTTTGGATTTTTCAAAATCTCTAAATACATGAGAAGAACACCAAACCAGATTCCATAACAATATTCACTGTAGTAAATGAATAGTAGACTTGTCGAAAATTTAAAATATCTAACAAGAAAAATTGTTCATGACACAGTCGAGCCAGTTTTGTGATGTCAGACGTTGCAATTGATTCAATATAATGAATGCCGTTGTCATTTCGTAAGAAAATGTTTAGTAGAGACTTTGTAATCGCAGATACAACTATAGTTACCTGGAACAATAGCATGACGCCATGTCGATGGAAGGTAAATAGGGTTCTCAAATAAAAATTCATTCGAATAGTAATCATTTTATAGAAATAAAATTATTCCTTGCCCCAGTTAACAACATAGCGGATAATTTTTTAATCAGAGGATTTACATTAAAAACCGATCCGTATATATATATATATATATATGATATATATATTATAAATTCAAATTGATTTAAAATATGGTTTTTCATCTATGGTGACATGTTTCAAAAATATTAAAAAATGGAATTTATTTTTGTAAATTAAAAACATTAGATCCATTTCAAATTAATGTCTGTAAATTTACATTGAGATATTTTGTAAGTGGAAAATATCTATAAGAACCCGGATTTTATATCGCTGAAGAAATTTTATTTTATATATATATATATATATATATATATATATATATATATATATATGTATAAATATTAAATTTTATCATGCATTTACTAGAAACAATAAATATACGATTGTAAATTAAAAAATTGATAATAACATATTTTGAGAATGTTGAGTTTTATTATATAAAAAATGTGCAATTCTCATTGCCATCTCTTTTAAGTATCATTTTGATTAATTCGCCGGTGTGTCTAAATGATAATTCTATTAATTTGGATTATTTTAAAAAACATTGAATAACAAATTTAAAAATCAACCAATCTTAATTGATTGTCTGGTAGTATAATCTTTTCTTGAAAAATAAGAAAATTAAAATAAGTGGTTTATTGAACAACAAACATTCAATATATGATTTAATTTCATGCAGCATGGCTCCTTATCAGAATCAATATGTATAGTTTTCAATATGTTTATATTTATGCATAAAATTGTCTCATTATTACGGATTTATATATAAATATTAAATCTATCAATTGATTGAATGATAGCAACTATCTATCTGTTTCAAATATATCTATTTATATATATCGATTATATATATATATATATATATATATATATATATATATATATATATATCTATCTGGATTGATTTATGTGACCTAGGTATCTATCTATCTATCTATCTATCATACGATTGACACTTTCCTGAGGCCTGGAATATCTATCAGCTATGGAATATCTTTATCTAGGATTGGAAATAAGTCTGATTGATATTCTTGAGGACAATCAGTGGAATTTTGTCTGGGGACAGTATCTTTCTATTAGGATCGAGACCTCTAGAAACTTTTTTGTTGTGATGGGGAGGGAATGTCTTTATCGTCTAACGTTGAGTTAGGGGCAAAGATTTAAGAGGTTCGACTTATCTATCAATTCGAAGATATGGCCTGGGGCCATTTATCTGAGCACCACCTTTTCAGGATAGGGTTAGTAATCTTGCAGAATACACTGGATCCAATTTGTTTCTTTTCATCCTTGGTCATTCGCTCGTGGGTATGCACTTGGCGATTTCTAGACCGTTTTGCAGTGATTTAGGCTGCCGTGAGGGCCGAATTACATTCCTTTGTCATTATAAATACTGAAGCAGTGGTTTCGGTGATTTATGGCCGCAGCCGATTCGGACGTGAACCAAGGTTTGTTTGCTTTTTCCTGAATTTGTTCTTCGTTATAAAACTCTCCGTTCACAAAGAATCCAATCAGTGACGAGGTCAGCGGTTTTGGGTAGTATGCTGAAAAGGTTAGGAGGGGAACTTCCATCATATAGAGATCGAAAGCTGCCCCAGTCTGCCTTCGGATAGCGAAAAACCCGTTATATGGATACGGTACATCACGGTATGCCATAAGTTTGAAATCGATCTGGCTATTGATAAGGAATGGTCTGATGTGCCTTTGGCTGTAGAACTTTTGCTAAGCATCTATCAGGGAATGTAGTTAGAAAGAGGTCAATTGTGTCGCCAGATGACCGATCGTGTTAGGGACCCTGGTAGGTTCTGACCATATATCATCTTCCTCCTCTGTGGTAAAATGAATATATATATATATATATATATATATATATATATATATATATATATATATAATAACCCTTTTTTCAAATAAATTTAATGTAAAAATATCTCAGCAGTAACAATAACAAAAAATATTATTTGTTATTTGCAAGGATGTTAAACTTTCAGGAGAGTAATTAACATTTTTCATTATTTTAAGGACGCCAAAATTCTTATGCAATTGTTGTTGTTAGAGCAAATTTTCGTCGATCCATTTTCTTTTATCCAGTGTAATACAATAATCAAAAAAAAGAAACGTCTGAGTCCACAGGCAAAAAAGAAATTGAAGTTGGGTTCAAGATTGTTCAGCCATCACATAGTGTCAAAACAAAAATACGTAGATATTTGGGGGTTCTAAACAATGTTGCATATATTCACGTTCTCACATCCTTGAAGAGAAAAAATTCCTGACCAGATATGACAATCCTTTTTTCAGAATCATTAGAAAATGCATGAGAAAAAGAAAAAACCATTGAAATAATTGTTTCACCCACGCCCTGGAAATCACATCAAAAACTGTTTTAAAACCTTTCTATCAATTCCTCAAATGAGAAGAAATAGGTCTGAGTCAATTTTATAAGGTTAGCATAAAAGGGGGAAAAAGGACCAAAGAGACGACATCATTTAAAAAAATTTCCCATATTTCCAATGTTAATTAGTCCTATTGTAAAACATTTTACATTTTAATGAAATTTTATCAATCATTCCTAAAAAAAATGTTGCAAAATTGAACTGAAGGTCTGACCTCAATTTTAAACATTTCTTTTGATACTAAAAACATGACAAAAAAAAGAAAATAATTAAACATATAATAGCATTTGTCCATTTGGGACAATCGGTAATTTGAAAAACATTCCTATTAAATTCCAAATTAATAACAGACATATTGCCCTTTCTTTTGAGTAATCATTTTATTCAATGACAATCCCTTTCTTCCTCTTTAGTGAAATTCACTAGTAAAACAAAACAAAATAATAATTACACATATAATAGCCCTATTCTATCAGTAATGCTTGCATTCATTCCTGACCACTTGACAATCCTTTTTTTCCTCATTTGCAATGCATTCCTATAGTAAAACACTGCTACAAAATAATAATTATACATATAATAGCCCTATTCTTCAGTAATGCTTGCATTCATTCCTGACCACTGAGGGTCATTTCCTCATTTGCAATGCATTCCTATAGTAAAACACTGCTACAAAATAATAATTATACATATAATAGCCCTATTCTTTCAGTAATGCTTGCATTCATTCCTGACCACTGACAATCCCTTTTTTCCTCATTTGCAATGCATTCCTATAGTAAAAACACTGCTACAAAATAATAATTATACATATAATAGCCCTATTCTATCAGTAATGCTTGCATTCATTCCTGACCACTGACAATCCTTTTTTCCTCATTTGCAATGCATTCCTATAGTAAAACACTGCTACAAAATAATAATTATACATATAATAGCCCTATTCTATCAGTAATGCTTGCATTCATTCCTGACCACTGACAATCCCTTTTTTCCTCATTTGCAATGCATTCCTATAGTAAAACACTGCTACAAAATAATAATTATACATATAATAGCCCTATTCTATCAGTAATGCTTGCATTCATTCCTGACCACTGACAATCCCTTTTTCCTCATTTGCAATGCATTCCATAGATAAAAAACACTGCTACAAAATAATAATTCTACATATAATAGCCCTATTCTTTTAGTAATGCTTGCATTCATTCCTGACCACTGACAATCCCTTTTTTTCCTCATTTGCAATGCATTCCTATAGTAAAACACTGCTACAAAATAATAATTCTACATATAATAGCCCTATTCTTTCAGTAATGCTTGCATTCATTCCTGACCACTGACAATCCCTTTTCTCCTCATTTGCAATGCATTCCTATAGTAAAACACTGCTACAAAATAATAATTCTACATATAATAGCCCTATTCTTTTAGTAATGCTTGCATTCATTCCTGACCACTGACAATCCCTTTTTTCCTCATTTGCAATGCATTCCTATAGTAAAACACTGCTACAAAATAATAATTATACATATAATAGCCCTATTCTATCAGTAATGCTTGCATTCATTCCTGACCACTGACAATCCCTTTTTTCCTCATTTGCAATGCATTCCTATAGTAAAAAACACTGCTACAAAATAATAATTCTATATATAATAGCCCTATTCTTTTCAGTAATGCTTGCATTCATTCCTGACCACTGACAATCCCTTTTTTCCTCATTTGCAATGCATTCCTATAGTAAAACACTGCTACAAAATAATAATTCTACATATAATAGCCCTATTCTATCAGTAATGCTTGCATTCATTCCTGACCACTGACAATCCCTTTCTTCCTCATTTGCAATGCATTCCTATAGTAAAACACTGCTACAAAATAATAATTATACATATAATAGCCCTATTCTATCAGTAATGCTTGCATTCATTCCTGACCACTGACAATCCCTTTTTTCCTCATTTGCAATGCATTCCTATAGTAAAAACACTGCTACAAAATAATAATTATACATATAATAGCCCTATTCTTTCAGTAATGCTTGCATTCATTCCTGACCACTGACAATCCCTTTTTTTCCTCATTTGCAATGCATTCCTATAGTAAAACACTGCTACAAAATAATAATTATACATATAATAGCCCTATTCTATCAGTAATGCTTGCATTCATTCCTGACCACTGACAATCCCTTTTTTTCTCATTTGCAATGCATTCCTATAGTAAAACACTGCTACAAAATAATAATTATACATATAATAGCCCTATTCTATCAGTAATGCTTGCATTCATTCCTGACCACTGACAATCCCTTTTTTTCTCATTTGCAATGCATTCCTATAGTAAAACACTGCTACAAAATAATAATTATACATATAATAGCCCTATTCTATCAGTAATGCTTGCATTCATTCCTGACCACTGACAATCCCTTTTTTTCTCATTTGCAATGCATTCCTATAGTAAAACACTGCTACAAAATAATAATTATACATATAATAGCCCTATTCTATCAGTAATGCTTGCATTCATTCCTGACCACTGACAATCCCTTTTCTTCCTCATTTGCAATGCATTCCTATAGTAAAACACTGCTACAAAATAATAATTATACATATAATAGCCCTATTCTATCAGTAATGCTTGCATTCATTCCTGACCACTGACAATCCCTTTTTTCCTCATTTGCAATGCATTCCTATAGTAAAAAACACTGCTACAAAATAATAATTATACATATAATAGCCCTATTCTATCAGTAATGCTTGCATTCATTCCTGACCACTGACAATCCCTTTCTTCCTCATTTGCAATGCATTCCTATAGTAAAACACTGCTACAAAATAATAATTCTACATATAATAGCCCTATTCTATCAGTAATGCTTGCATTCATTCCTGACAACTGACAATCCTTTTCTTCCTCATTTGCAATGCATTCCTATAGTAAAACACTGCTACAAAATAATAATTCTACATATAATAGCCCTATTCTATCAGTAATGTTTTGCATTCATTCCTGACCACTGACAATCCCTTTTCTTCCTCATTTGCAATGCATTCCTATAGTAAAACACTGCTACAAAATAATAATTATACATATAATAGCCCTATTCTATCAGTAATGCTTGCATTCATTCCTGACCACTGACAATCCCTTTTCTTCCTCATTTGCAATGCATTCCTATAGTAAAACACTGCTACAAAATAATAATTATACATATAATAGCCCTATTCTATCAGTAATGCTTGCATTCATTCCTGACCACTGACAATCCCTTTTTCTCCTCATTTGCAATGCATTCCTATAGTAAAACACTGCTACAAAATAATAATTATACATATAATAGCCCTATTCTATCAGTAATGCTTGCATTCATTCCTGACCACTGACAATCCCTTTCTTCCTCATTTGCAATGCATTCCTATAGTAAAACACTGCTACAAAATAATAATTATACATATAATAGCCCTATTCTATCAGTAATGCTTGCATTCATTCCTGACCACTGACAATCCCTTTCTTCCTCATTTGCAATGCATTCCTATAGTAAAACACTGCTACAAAATAA